AATTCGTTGAAATTATTTATACCTTTTTAATTAATCACTCATGCGCATTAAGTGTGAAACCGAAGGGTAAACTCTAAATATATAAACGTATATTTTCTTTCTCTTTCTTTGTTCCTAAAGCTGAAGACCAAATTGGCCTAATTAAATTATTGTTCCAACAACAGGAAAATTAATGTGACAGCACACTAGCTACTTCTTAGTACCTTTTATTCATGAAACTAAAACTTCATTTGTAAAGTACTAATGTATCATACATAAAGAAATAAAGATTAATGCGACCTTGATTTCTGCCCGCTATTTTTTACGATTTGTCTTTGCATTGGAAAATAAACAAAAAGTTACAAATTGGGAGGAGATTGAGATACATGCACCAGGCCCCGTTTACTTTTACAGTACAAGAAAAGAGAAGAAAAGAAAAATACAATAGGAATAGGACTGGTCAGATCGAGCTTTGTATTGCGGTGAACTCCACCATCCACCATCTTATGACTTAATGGTCATGCACCTCTTTTGAGGAGATGAATTGTTCATCATTTTAAGAAGTCATTCTAGAAAGTCTCAGTTGTTAACAACTATTTCTACTAACTTCCTAACCATTGCTCTTATTCAAAAACAAAAAACTGACCAGATCACTCTAGGGGCCCAATATGAACGTAAACATGAAATCTTAAATCCTAATGATCAATTCTTGCTGCTTGTGTTTGGAATTGTATTCAATCAGTAGCTGGTGGAGAAGGGTTTATACGACTTGAGATCAAGAACAACTCCTGCAATAGACCCAGCTGCAGCTGCAACGGTGATAATAAGGCAGGCCATGCTCAGGGTTTGGAGGCACAACCATCTTGTGCTCCACCTTGGTATCCCCTTTTGTTTAATATACATCTCTACTGGGAAGTAGACTGTAAGTGGCCAAAATCCCAGGGCTCCCAGGAGTCCAACCACGTCGTTGAAGAAGGGAAGAAGCATAGAGATGACAGTGGTGGTGATAACAAAAACTGTTCTCCATAACAACCTGAAGAGGTTCAGATTGTATGGGCGAAAACCGGGAATGGGGATCTTGATTTCTTTGGTAATGAATTTACTATCTGGGAATCTTTCTGCTGCTTGTTTCTCAACGAATGCGAAAAGAGGCTGGCAGTATACTTGGTAAGCACCAACAAGGTGGATGACAATTGCTGCATTGGCTATGTCAAGAAGCCAAAATGGGTTATAGAAGCCAAAACCAGTTAGGAGGTTTGCCGGGGAGAAGTCTCCAAAAGCAGCATAGCCCATACAGCCACAGAGCATGTAGAAAATGGTAGTTACTGCAACACTTATTAGAGATGCCTTCTTCATTGTCTTGGATTCTGAGGGCGGGGATCTAAGGGTATCCTGTTAAATTATCACATGATTTAGTCCAAACTGCAAATTTTGGAGAAATTTGTTCAATAAATTTTGGAGAATTTAGAGTGAAGATAGATACTTGAATTTCAATGAGGATGATGGAATACGAGTAGGCAAAAGCAATATCTCCAAGAGCTTGGAAGCTCCTCCATATTTTCTGGGTTTGAGTCACAGTGCCAATGCTTATTCCAGTTAGACTTCCCGCAATCTTTCCATTTTCTGATCAGAATAAACCATTCAAAATTGGATATTTTCAGTTTTAACAATCCAATAATATTCACCAGGAAAGTTGACATTTAGGTTTGTTCAAAAGGGTAGGTGTTAAGACCTGCAACTTGAGCAATTCCAAGACCAAGTCCAATTGTTGAGTAAGTGAAGGACATGACTGCAGCAACAATGGAGAGCCACCACAACTGATGAAAGTCAGGAATTTGAGAGAAAATTACCTCGGCAATGCCAAATGCAATCATATAAGGGTTGCTGTTCATATGACATGGATTCTTGCCGCCACTCTTGTGGAAGCAGTTTGACCTTTTGATTGCCCTGTTTATCCCAACCCAAGATGAATAATAAGAAACTTAAACGACCCAAAAAAGGGACAAAAGAATCATCAGATTCTCATTCAAAACTCGAAACTTACATCATGCTAATTGCTGATGCAATTGTATACCCAATAGCAACTCCAAAAAGGTTGAGGTACTGCACCCACCCACACAGCCTAACTTTAAAGCCACCTGAAATTCAAGCAACCCAGAAGAAAAGTTTTGAGCTTTAAACGTTTTAAGAGGAACCCATTTCTAATTCAGCCAAAACAACTAATGTTTACCTAGATTTGATCGAACAGCATCCACGTAAGTATAATTCCTCTCCCCGGTGACAGGGTCACCGGAACGATAACAGGCAGCCAGAAGACTGGAGGTGTAGTAAGTGACAAAAGAGAACAAGAACATGACTGCAGGACCAGCAATCCAACCTAACTGAGCTGTGGCCCAAGCCAAGGACAGAACACCAGAACCTATCACAGCTGTAATTATGTGGGCACTTGCGGTCCACACAGTCCCTGTAATAACCAGACAGAAATTAGAATCTAGAAACCCAGAAGCTAGCATTATTGTCCGATTTGGTTTCAGAAGGAACGGTGGAGTTACCAGTCCGCTTGAAACGGCCGTCGTCGTCCAAATTTTTGGAGGGAACGCCACCGCCCGCTGAATGGACATCAATGGAGAGAGCAAAGACCTGGTTGTGGGTTTTTGAGGCGGATTGATCTCCCATCTTTTGTTAAAGAGAAAAGAAACGAACAAAAATTTAGCCTGCTTTTATGAGATAAAACCGAGCAAAAATATTTTGACACACTGAAGATTCCCAATAAAAACCCAAATGCAGTTTGGAATTCTAAGACTGATTATTTGCAGTCTATTTCTTTATGACTTGCGGAAGGAGAAATGGAGAGTGGGGTATATATAGAGACTGTGGAAGAAGCAATGGTCTTTCCCAACACACGCAAATCACTTAAAAAATTCGTGAGTATAGAAGAAAAGGAAGTGACTTCGGAAGGCCTGTGTCTTACAAATCTCACCAACCCTTTAGGGGTGCCCCACCCGCCACTACCAATCCACCACGGCCTCTTTCTATTCAAACTTCATCACCCATACGTAATTTTAGCTTGTAACTTCTAAGTCCAAAACCTGGGATCTTTATTTAGTGTTCGGTATGGTGTGGTAAGAGTTTTTAATAAAAATTTTTGTTGGAAAGAAATTGTTATAAAAATATTATTTTTGTAAATAAAAAAAATAAAAATAAAATAAGAATAATGTGTTAATTTTATTAAAATTTAAATGATAAACTCTTGTAAAAGTATTGATTTGATGTTTTAAAAATTTACAATAAAATAGATTAAAATATTAATTTATGAAAAATTATAATATTTTTTACAAATTATAATATTTGATGTAATTAAAACTTTTAAAATTTAAAAAGATTTACCACCAATTATACCAAACAGAGTCTTATTCTCCTCCTACTCCCTAACCAGAGGCAACTGCGTGTAAAAACTTTTCTGAACACCTTTACTTCTATTGCCAATATTGTTGGCCAACTATTTCATTTTAACCCATTTAAGTCGAACTGATACCCACTAAAAGGAACGGCAAGCAAGGGAGAATGTTAGCTTTATCAAGTTAGAAAAACTAGCTGTACAAATTGATCTTCAAACCAAATTATAAAAAAAAAAACTAGAATAAAAAGAGAGGAATGCAAATATTACCGTCATTTTGGGGCTGGCTTATTTGTGCCCCCACTGGATTAAAGAAACTGTATCAGAAGAAATTGGGTTCTGTACCTTGCTCTGTGCATCAATTGGAAGAATTCCTTAGCTTATATAGTGAAGAACGAAGCAAACAAAAATAATACTTAAATAAATCTCTTTAAAGGACCACCTTTGGTCCAAAATTCTCATGTCAATGGCCCTAACTAAAAGAGAATATGGTTCTTCAATAATTATACATATTAGAATGAAAACTTCGGTTTTTTAACAATCTGAAATTGAAGGACTTGCAATTTGCATCTAATTCCATCCTTAGCTCTGTTCCCAATGAATGAGGAAATGAAAATTATTGGAGAAAGCCACGCACTTTGCTTGCTAGCATATTAATTAGAATGGTTAAGGACAGCTCTCTCTCTGGAAAAAGAGAATGTCCTCGTTACTTTATTTATACACCCAAATCCTATCAATGAGAATATATGATTCTGTTTGTTTATCATACTATAAAAATTATTGGGACAGATTCGACTACATATATATATTTCATGTTTCAATAGTTTGTAATTCTATTTTATTTTTACTCCTAATCAACATTAGGCATTTGGCATTTTTTGACTATGAAATACCATGAGTCATACTTGTTTTCTTATAATGAAATCTTATAACACTAAATGACATTATTTTAATAGATTATTTTACTCATAAATTAATATATATTTACTTTCATTTCACACTAGATTGACTTCATTTAATAAACAATCTAGCAATTTTTGTTTTTTTTTTTTGTTTTTTTTTTTGGTTTAGTTTACTATGTTTTACTTTTATTTTAATTTAATCTAACATGTTAACTTTTTAACAATAATTTTACTTCATTTAATTAAATTGATCTTTAACTATATCTCTTGTAAACTTTTATTCATTGATATTAATTGTGGGGCAAAACTAATTTTATAAAAATAATAAATTTTTTTTTATTGTTTAAGAAATTGTAACTTTTATTACATGTTATTTCAATTTTTCCTTTTGATAATTCTCCTTTATAGTATAATCCATAATTATTAATATATTTTAATAGTTTATACAGTCTATCATGAATTAGTTTGTTGATTGAGATTATTTCATTTTAATTTTGATTTAATTTTTTATTATTTTTTTGTTAAAATTAATGAAAATTTTATACAATAAACTATTATGAAATATTTTATAAAATTTATAAATTATTTAAAAATATTAATTTTTTAAATTAAAATAAAATTAGACTAATAATTAATACACCAACCATTTAATTAAACCCGTGAGATTACAAGCTGGAAGGTGCAAAGAACCTAGTTATCTGGCAAAACGTGGTCTATATATAATTCTGTTTGTCTGATCGAGACATGTGGCAAAAAGCAGCAACGTAAACTTTGGGAATCTTTTCCGATTCAAATACAAGACTTTTCTTAATGTATTTTAATGTCCAATTTCTCAAAAGCTTTTGTGTTTTGACGTAAACCTCCAAAGGAGCACTTTCTAACATTGCACCTAAAAATAAGCACTTGGTGTGGAGGAGGTCGAATGATGAAAATTATGATAAGCACAGAAATGATGCAAAAACCAGTAATATTGAACTTAATTTAACTGCCACACTAAGTTGTGGGATTCCTCCACAAATTGTTGAATTAAAAAAAAAAAAATTGAGGACAAATTCAATACCGGTTTCCATCTTGTACTATAATCATTTTCAAGACTTTTCGAATCTCATCTTTATTCTTATTTACTATTTTCCGTACAAATTTTTTTTACTAACCTTCAAGTATTTAAAAATTAAATTGGATATCGAGTTATTTAAAATCAAGTTATGTCAAATTCCATAAAAAAAAAACTCTCCCATTACATTTTTATCTATTTATAAGAGTTGAATTCGAAATCTTATATAAAGGAAATTGAGTTCTCTCCACTTGACCTAAGAGGCCGTTGATACCATTTGTAGTACAATAATTGTTAATTTATTTGAGTTAGTTTAAGTAATAAGAGAAAATGAGTAAATAAGGATGCTAGTTCTAGACTTTTTAATTTTATTTAAAAATATTAATTTTGTCAATTTTTAAATAAAAATATTGACTTTCAATTTTTTTCTATTTAAGGATATTAACTTTTTTAAAGATATCAACTTTCAACTTTTTTTATTTAAAAATTAATTGGATGATAATGCTAACATGACAAACGGATTTTTTAACTGAAATGTTGAAAGTTGACATCCTTAAATAGAAAAAAAATTAAAAGTTAATATCCTTAAATAGAAAAAGTTGAAAGTTGATATCCATATTTAAAAACTAACAAAGTTAACATCTTTAAATAAAAAAAATATAAAGTTCATGTCCTTATTTGCACCATTTCTCTAAGTAATAAAGAGTTATGTGAATTATTGGTAGGAAAAAATTTTCAAATTCTTCCTTTGCTATTTTGGGTCAAATTTGCTACTTATTTATAAGATTAAATGCTAATTTTGGTCTCTCAACTTTAAGATTTTGCACAATTTTCATCCCTCAACTTAAAGTTGATGAGCTAAAAATGTGCATATATTAGAAGTTGAGGGATTAAAAACGTGCAGATTCAAATAGATTTAACGAATTAATTGACAGAAGGATTAAAAAAGTGTATTTGTCATACTTAAGGGATTAAAAAAGTGCAAAAAAAGTCGAAAGATGAAAACTGTGCAAAACCTTAAGTTTGAGGGACCAAAATTGATATTTAACCAATGTATAAACAAGACGATCTAAAGATACTTATAATAGTGGTAGCAATAGAAGACACATGATTTTTTTATAAAGGATGATATTCTTTAAATCACGAGATTGATTACATGTTGCAGACGATTAGTGTACGTATGCTAAAGACCAAAAGAACCCCTATATAATTGGATTTTACTTGAATTAATTAAGACAAATGAATAGGGGCTACTTCCTTGCTCTAATGTCTTTGTCACACCTCCTTTTAAAACAATTTTAGCGTCCCAAGCAAGAATCTATGCTTGTTATCCTTGGAAGACATGATGAAATGCATGCATCTGATTACTTTACAAAGAGATATAATGGTAATCAGATTCTTTATTTGATACTAATTCATTACAATGAAATCTCAATCAAAACTCTTGACATGTCGTTTTATGTTTGAATTCTTTATTCTTTCTTAAATCTCAATAATAATATTTATGTATAACTTGATCGAACTTGAATTTTTATTTAATTGTATAATATAAAATTGGTATAAATATACACAATACATATTTAATAATTTAAAATATAAAATTTACAATTATTATAGTGCTTTAATCTCTAAACTCTTGAGACCTCATTAGTTGATTCTAACTTGGGTTGAGATATGGGTTAATCGGAGAAAATATCAAAGAATCAAGCCAACCTCATGAGCGGTCAAAAGGTCTTGTAGGGATAGCTGAAATGGTTGAAAGTGATACTTTTTTGAGTGGGTAGAGGCTAGCTAGAAAAGGACCCTTCATAACAAAGGCATGTATACTTTTGATTTTAGAGACAAGTGGCGGCCATGGTTATGGACAACTAATTAATAAAGTGTTAGAATAACATAAATTTTTAAATATTATTTTTTAAAATATTTATTTTATTTTATTTTATTATTAAAAACAATTTATAACTATTGTTTTTAATTAATTAATAATAAAATGATTAATATTTATATCTTAATATATTAAAATCAATCTATACACTTGTATTTTCAAATATCATAACTACTCCAAGCGTGGTTGTCCCATCCCTTTCTCCTATAGTTGAAAAGCCCTACAAAAGACACATGGGAATGGGAATTGGGATTTTCTATATATACCAAGTGCCTCTTTGTCAATGTCACGAGCGAAGAGAAAAGATAGAAAAGGTAGTTGTTTAGTTTAGAATCTCTAAACTAGAATGGCTTTTGCAGGTTTTTTTTCTTTCTTTTTTTAAGCTTTTTTTAATATGTGCCTAATAAATATATTTTTGATGTTGCTGAATATTAAAAACAAAAAATATTAATTAATTAAATTCATCAAAACAATAATGTTGTTGAGATATTAATGTCAATTATCATATTTTTCTATATAAATTTATTTTTTATATAAATTAAGAGATTGCAAAAGATCAAAATATTATTGTAATCAAAATATCATAAATGATAATAA